GAAAAGTACCATGTCTACAAAGAGGCTTATGTTTTCCTTTTGAGATACTGTCATGGGGAGAATTATCACACAAAAAGCTTTGTTAATCATCCCCTAGTAACCTTATTTCCCTGATGCATTTTATTTTTAAATGAACGACGGTCAAAGCTAGTTTATTTAAGAAAATAAATATCACCTTGTATAATCCCTCTCATAATCTGGACTTCTTTTAGGAAGGTTGCGTAATACCAACAGTGAAACCAGAAAGATACACAATAAAAAACAAAACTATAGACCAATTTCACTGACAAATACAGGTGACAAAAATCTCACTAGAATACCTGCAGATTGGAGCCGGACAGAAAGGCCAGAGGTTAAGAGCACGCCTACTCTTACCAGCACCATCTGAAACTCCAGTTCCAGGGGGCCTGACGCCCTCTCCTGAGTTTCACAAGCACTGCACACATGTGATGCACATATATAGACAGAGGCAAAACACTCGTAAACATATAATAAAATAAATAAATCTAACTTTAAAAAACGTTTGTGTGGTAGTTCCAATGTAATTGGCCCCTATAAGCTCAGGGAGTGGTACTATTAGGAGGTATGGCTTTGTTGGAGTAGCTATGGCCTTGCTGGAGGAAGTGTGTCACTGTGGGAATGGGCTTTGAGGTCTCATATATGCTCAAGACATGCTCAGTGTCTCAATTCACCTCCTATTGCCTGCAGGATCAAAATGCAGAAGGACTCTCAGCTCTTTCTCCAGCATCATGTCTGCCTGTGTGCTGCCATGTCCAGCCATGATGATAATGAACTAAACCTCTGGAACTGTCCCCGTTAAATGTTGTCCTTTGTAAGAGTTGCTATGGTCATGGTGTTTCTCCACAGCAACAGAAACCCTAAGACAAATTGCAAACTGAATCTAAGAACACATTAAAAAAGATCATCCGTCATGATTAAGTTGGCTTCATCCCAGAGATGCAAGAGTTGCTCAGCATATGTAAACCAATACATGTAATCCCCAAGATATCTCTGTTCCTACTTACAGGCATTTTATAGAATGTCATCATTTCACAACTGCTGTTTTAACCAATCTAATCACTTTTGCTACTTTTACATGTAAGAGTCTATAAAATTATCCACTTATCTCTTCCTAGTTTGTACAATTTTTCAAAATAATATACAGCTGGTTCACTATCTTATAAGGGATAGAGTCAGAACGCATACTAAATGTACACAAAATTCTTTCTCAAATATGAGGCAGACAATGACAGCAGCAATCCAAAGAGCCTCGGGATTGGTATGTAGGAAGAAATCATTCTACTGCTTCTCCAGATAACTCAGATTTAAAAGACTTGAGTTCAGAGAATGTTTCTCTCTACCAATAGTAAGAAAAACTAGAAATAGCTATTATTCTATAGGATTTTCAATACCACCTACTTTCAAATCATTTATAATATGTATACTAAGACCATATAGAGAGAAACATGGCAAAGAAAGATGTATGGGGGGGGGCTTAAGAGATTTATAGTAAAATTTACAATCCATTTTGCTTTCTACTTTATAATTTTCACTGGCAATTTATTAGATAACTTGATTAGACATTTACAGGTATACTTCGATGTCTCTGATTCCAAATTGGTTATGAGAAGACAGAATACTTAGCACTAAACCTATTAGGTTAATAAAATAAGGCGTAAGTCAAGATGAAAAACAAAAACCTGTGTCTACTCACTCACTCAACGTGTAGTTACAGTGTGTAGAGGAAGGAAATGTTTCCCTATATCCCATTAAAATTCAACGACTGAGGCTATAAAATCAACTGATAACAGGCAGGTAGGTTAAGAGGACAAGCATACACAGAAAGAAGAGTGAATACCCCAACCCAATGGGGCCTAGTAGCTTCTACCCATTCTTCTTAGGAGAGTGAAAACGATTTGGGAGCGAGTTCAATAGACTTAAAGAACAGTGCTAGCTTGTTTGGGTGTGAGGTCCCTCTCTAGTCCTCTTCTATGACCTGACATAAAATTATGAAGGAGTTACATGGACATGATGACAATGGACTCTTCGTGGGGGTGCCTGTCTTAAGGCACCTGACGGAGTTCCCACAAAGCTCTTGCTGGCGGGTGCTGCCTGCCAAGTGCCCTTAGTTGAAGCCACCAGAGGATCAACACATTTGGCAGTGGTATATTCTGACTTCCTGTGAGTAACACAGGCAATGCGAACATTCAAGACAAAGCTTGTTTTCAAGGTGCTCGTAAGAAATCAGGAAGGATAAACAAACGAGATGTCTTACAAAGCCCGCAGATGCCACCGTCATAGTTGAATAAAGACTATAGGAGGCCACAGGGTAATCTCTGAAGAGGGAAGCCTTTCAGTTTTCTGGACTTACGATTTCTGTCAGCATGAATTATTTTTTTAATTAGAGAAAGAAATAAAATTGGTCTATAATTAGTTATGTGTTTTGTCACAGCAACAAAATAAAACCAGAACAGAGTTTTAATAAAAGTTGTATATGGGAATTTTGAGTTATTTGACTAAAATAATTTGCTTATTTTGTAGTAGGAGTAGGGGTCTTGTTGCCATATTTATTGATAGCTAAATGTAGAGCTTGGAAAAAATTAAGGCATATCTGCTTTTTTTTATTATTATTAAGAAAGTTTCTATTCACTTTACATATCAACCACAGATTTTGCCCCCCCTTTCCTCTCCCCACCTCCCAGCCTTCCCCCCAAACCCACCCCACATCCCCACATTTCCCAAGTCAAGGTCTCCCATGGGGAGTCAGCAGAGTCTGGCACACTCAGTTGAGGCAGGTCCAAGCCCCTCCCCCCTGCACCAAGGTTGTGCACGGTGTCACACCATAAGCACTGGGCTCCAAAAAGCCTGCTCATGTACCAGGGTTGGATCCCGATCCCCCTGCCTGGGGGCCTCCCCAAACAGTTCAAGCTAAACAACTGTCTCCTGTGTCCAGAGGAAGGCATACCTTCTTTAAGGATTTGTAGTGTATTTTAAACTCTTGTCTGATGTCTAGTCTATTACTCGGTAACAGATTTTTAAAGTCTTGTCTGATGTATCAGTCTACTTGTAATGATGTATTTCATTACCATCTATTATTAATCTAGCTCTCCTAATGTCACTAAGATGAAATGTGGTCATTTATAGTTCCCCAATTTCAAAGTGCCTCTATAATGTTAATATGCTGTCCTGGAAAAAGAAAGAAAGAAAGAAAGAGAGAGAGAGAGAGAGAGAGAGAGAGAGAGAGAGAGAGAGAGAGAGAGAGAGAAAGAGAAAGAAAGAAAGAAAGAAAGAAAGAAAGAAAGAAAGAAAGAAAGAAAGAAAGAAAGAAAGAAAGAAAGAAAGAAAGAAAATCAAACCAATTCCTATGTTTATTTTGGAAATGCATCAGCAGCCTTGACCCTCATGTTTGAGAGGCCCAGTCTGTGGAGATGGAAACAGCCCCTTCTCCACTTCAGTGAGTCCTAGTTATATCATTGACTGGTTTTCAAATTCCATAATCTTGTTTTTAGTGTCACTGTAGGCTGACTCATCCTTTTCATAAATGGCAGGGGCTGTGATCCTCTGTGGCGCTTTTTATTTAATAGAACTCAACTGTCATCCTAAGTGAAAAAAATTTTGATTGACTATGAGAAATTCCTGTTAATGAAGGCTATGTCCTTCTGGCCATGAACACAGGGTGTCCAGTACTTGCTAGCTCCATTTAAAAATTGAATTATTTTGTAAAGTTAATTGTGAATTTCCAAGTATCCTTTAAGCATTATTGAATTCATTTACTCATTCTGCAGGGTAATGGCCAGCAGAGGAGGTGGGGTGGCTCTGAGTCAGTCTCCCTGACAATCACAACAAAGTAGAACAGAGCCGGTGAAGAACACTCAGATGTTTGAGTTTAAGTGAAGCCCCAATTTAAGGTTTCATTTTCATGGTAGTGTTTACTGAGATTTGGAGTATATTTTTTTTAATAATAACATTTACATCCTTCTCTTCCTAAAGTTATAGTCTTCAGAGTCCTGAATACAGATACTGAACAGTGAAGAACTAGGTGTAAGATATGGAAGTGGCCAGGGATGAAGACATACGTATCCAAATACTTCCCTGCCGTGGGATGTCTTGTATGCTGTAAATATATGTTACTATGATTGATTGATAAATAAAATGCTGATTGGCCAGTAGCCAGGCAGGAAGTATAGGAGGGACTAGCAGAGAGGAGAATTGAGGGAACAAGAAGGCTGAGTGAGACAGATGCTGCCAGCCGCCATAAAAAGCAAGATATAAGGTACTGGTAAGCCATGAGCCACGTGGCAACTTATAGACTAATAGATATGGGTTAATTTGAGATACAGAAACTAGATAACAAGAAGCCTGAGCCATTAGGCCAAACAGTTTAAATAATATAAGCGTCTGTGTTTATTTTATAAGTGGGCTGCGGGACTGCTGGGGCTTGGCAGGAACTGGAGGGAAACTCTTCAGCTACACTTCCCAAAGCATGGTGGAACACAGACATACATTCAAAGGAGGTAAAGGAAGAACGTAGGAAACAAAAGGAACTAAGTTGGTTAGGAATGTGTGGGAGGGAGTTGAGTGGCTTCATGCATACATATTTAAAATATTTTCAGATGTAATGTCTTGATAACACAGTTTCTGAACTTTTCAAGAAATGCACTCCTTTATTTATTTATACTTAAAAATTTAAGTTTAAAATTTGCCAAAATCATATTTTAATGAAGTTCTTAGAAATTACTAGAAAAAATACTTTCACTTCCCAAGTCCTTTTGGTTCTGCAGCAGATAAAATTGGCTCTGAGTTCAGCAATTACTATTATCTTGAGTAGTATTCTAGTAGTATCTGGGGTGGGGACTTACAGACAAGAGTCATACCTAAGGGTAAGTTGCTAACAACAAATTAAATTAACCTCTAGTTAGCTCAGCATCATTTTGCCTATACCTTAATGGCATAGAGGCAAAACTCACCAATAACCCATAAAATGAATGGCACAGACCCACCTTTGATTGCACCCACGATGTTCTGGTCTAGTCCTTTTCGGTTGTCATTGAGTCCTCTTTTCCTCTTCCCATTGGGTAAGGAGTTAGCCAAAGTCTTGTCATCAAAAAATGCACACACCAGTTTTCTAAACAGAAGGCTTCCTGAGCGAGTGTAGTTTGACAATATAGAGTCCAGCTGAGACTTAGGCATAAACACATCGAAGCCTTCAGCAAGTTGCACTTCTGGCTACCAAAAGAACAGAAATGTTTCATTAAAAGCAAGATTGTGAAACCTGTTACCTTGGGTGTAAGTGCGGCAAAAATACCAGTGGCTACTGAAATGTCCATATCCAGTAAATTACACAGTCCCAGTTATGTGTGCTAGAATTTACAATTTATAAAATCAATGACCACTTATAATTTGCAAAATGGAATGCTGTAATTCCAATAGAAGTCTTATCCAAGTACATTGAACACACGCTTCTATTCACACAAACATTTCAGAGAAGGCTGGATAATTACACAGTAATACAATTCTATAGCTAAGGAGACGTGAATCACCTACACCCCAAACCCTCATTTTGTAAATGAAGAAACCAAGGAGAGTGTACCAAAAATGACTTCAAAATAATTCAAATGCCAAATAATTTCTTTCACTTAAGGTTACAAATACAGGGCTACACCCACAGGTCCCCTACTCCTATTAGCTATAAATTTCTTTTTACCACAATGTATCACTTTCCATAAAGTGATAATGCAAAATAAAAATGGCAGCTGGTCCCACAGTTTCAATCTACTCCCCACACTAACTTGTGGGAGCAATGTCCCAGAACACCCTGGAACACCACTGCACTGGCTTCCTTGATTGTCAGGAACTTCCTAAAGTCCTTTAGAGAACATTCTGGATGTCTTCAACCTGCCTTTTCACCTTGCACTTCTGCTCAGGGCACTTCCTTCCCAGAGCTTTTAACTCCTTCCTACCCACAGATGTAGCCACGCACTGTTATTGTCTGTTCTTTAACACAAGCACATTGGTATTTATTATATTATGCTTTGTATCTCTGGTGTCTACATAGTAGGCACTTAGTAAACTTAAAATTTCATTAGCCATAATCTAAATTATTTTAATATTTATATTAATAATGTTTATACTGTTTCAATGTTTGTATTATTATATTTATGTTATTTCAATATGAAAACTGCATTTGGTAGATTTAATCAGAATGAAAGGAATGCCCTACTTACACAAGCTGTATATATAATCACAGCTCACCCCTTAATGTTATATTGGCAACTCTGTAAAGAAGTCCCCTTAGATGAGCGGGTTTGGGATCAGTTTCTCTCCTGGTCAATGGAAGTTACTCTTTTTGCTGTCCTGCTGTGCTCAAATGCTCAGCACATTGTAAAGTCAAGAATGTTCAGAAGACAGCCTACATCATTCCGATAGCGAAGGAAGGTGCCTGGGCCTTGCCCCGTGAAAAAGGAACTTTGGACTGGATTAGCTGGAAAGTGATCTCATTCTTCTGCTCCACTCTGCCATTTAATGTTTGGCTTCTGAACTCCTGGCAAACATCACTGTGAGGACAGAGCTGTCAACTGTCCCTGGCTTCCGCATCTTGCTGCTTGCTGGTCAAAGGTACAGAGGGAGTCTGACAGGAGCCAAAGGCTGAACGCCTAATTCCTGCAATGGAATGGGCCCACACCGAGCATCAGGAAACACTTGTCAAGTGATCCAATGTGGAATTGTAAGAATGGAGAGAATTCTATCATAAGGCTGGCATGAGGGTCTATTCAAAATCGAAATTTTATTTTGCATATCCTATGAACTTTAATTCTAAATAAGCTTATCTTGGAGTTTTAAAAGGAATTCCAGGATCATGTAGACTCCATGAGACACCCCCACGAGTGTATCCTGCAGTTATTTGACCACCGTGGGTGGTATAGGAGCTCTTAAGTTGCAAGAAAGGAGAGGGAAAGGCCTGCAACTTATTTAATGTAACTCTGGGTTGGATTCTGTAACACTTACCTGGTGCTTAAAACTCAGTCACCTGACTTCTGAGATTTCCAGAATTTCCCCTGGAGGACTTGGACCCTAGCTTCAGAAACACTGACCTGAATAAAACATCAGGCAACACAGCCACTCCCATCTTAATGCCTGCGGAGTACTTTCTATGGAATGTGTTTACAGCACTTTTTCACTGCATTGATTTAGTTGGGATGTACAGCTCTGAAGTTCCCTGTGCCAAGAATCTAGTTGGCATCCAAGAGATGTGTACCAGAATAAACAAAATGCTCCATAGGAATTCAGCACAACGACTAGGTCAGAGTTTTCTTTCCCTCTATGGAGGAAGTGGTCTACAAGTCTCGGACATGCTGTGACGAGGCACACACCAGTGTCTTAGAACGCTCACGTGCCGGCTCCAACGTGAGGAGACTTGGAGAAACTGACCACCCGACTCAGTACCTACTTACTAAGTACCTTCTGTGGAGAGGGATTCAAGGCTGGCTCTGCAGCAGAGACTCACACAAACCACCACACACACACTGCACGGTAAGAACACTAGCCGAGAGGATCTGAGCAAGGGCTCTAAGTGCTAACATCAGGCAGGATTGGCTCCTGGAGCTGGGGGCAGAGGGGATACCGGAGGCTGAGGAAGGAGTGGGGCAGTACCTTACTTAATAAGGTCTTGAAGATAAGCTTTAGGAGACTGCAGTATAGTTAGTGTTTGTGGCACCTTCTATGACGCCTAAACTAGACATCTGGAGGTTTCTGTGGAGCCAAGCCTTCTTATGACACTGTAATCCTATGGTGTGTGACTGCAGAGGGGCCATCAGGGGCCAAAGCCGTCACTGCTTTCTGTTCTGTCTCCCACTGCCAGGCTAACACTGTTGTTCTGAGCTATCTTTCCAGTTCCAGGAACATGAACTCACCCACTCACCTACCTTACGGAGGAGTAAGTAGTCTGATTAGCCCGATGAGGGCAAAGGTAGCTAAGCCAGCTCCTCCCTGCCCGACCCTGCCTCCTATTCAGACTTCTTGGCAGGTAACAACAGAGCACTAACGCTTGTTTAAAGGTGCCACAAATCACCACTTCCTTTAGAGAAAAAAGAAGCGGGGGAGGGCTGGCCTTACGCTGGGAAACATGATACTAATGATCTTGTTTTCACTATGAACCCTGGCTGCAGGTGAAGTGCTAAACGGTCTTATTAATAAAACCCAGAGCCAAATATTGGGGTAAAAAGCTGAGCAATCAGAAAAGCAGAAAGAAGCCAGCCACATTCTTACCACTTGGAGACCCTCCACCAAAGAGACCCACTTCCTGTATACCTACGCCTATGTGTCTTTCTGTTCTGCCATCTCACTTCCTCTGTCCGCCCAGCTACATCACTTCCTCTTCCTGCCCAGCTCTGTCACTTCTTGTCTGTCTGTACAGACCTCCAGACCTTTATGGTTAGTGCTGGGATTAAAGGTATGTACCACCACGCCTGGCTCTGTTCCTAGTGTGGCCTTGAACTCACAGAGATCCAGACAGATCTCTGCCTGCCAAGTGATAGGATTAAAGGCATGTGCTACCATTGCCTGACCTCTATGTCTACTATAGTGGATGGCTCTGTCCTCTGATCCTCAGATAAACTTTGTTGGGGTACACAGAAAAAATATCATCACATTTCCCCTTTCTTTTTGTCTAAATAAAAGTTATAACTAATGTAAGAAAAACTATGTAAGTACAATAACTATATATAATATATACAAGCACTAAATACATCAATAATGTCTAGTCCATTTGCAGTTGACAAATTCAGTGAAAATATTCCATTATCTATCCTATTTTTGTGAATCCAAAGGATTGTATCTAATTTACCTTCTATCCTAATTTGCATTACCAAAACTATTTTTTGATGTCTTTCAAACTTATACACTTTACACCTCTTATTGAGTTTCTTTTCTGAATTTCTTTTTTTTTTTTTTTTTGGTTTTTCGAGACAGGGTTTCTCTGTGTAGCTTTGCGCCTTTCCTGGATCTCGCTCTGTAGACCAGGCTGGCCTTGAACTCACAGAGATCCACCTGCGTCTGCCTCCCGAGTGCTGGGATTAAAGGCGTGCGCCACCACCGCCCGGCTTCTTTTCTGAATTTCTTAACAAAGAAAACTATAACTATCTAATCTTCAAGTCCCCCAGAGACCCGAGAAGGAAATAATATTACCTAGTAAAACAGGAAGTGCAAACAAGTGACTTCCAAAAAAATGTGAGTTATGACAGAAACAGCCAGCTGTTTCTGGACTGTCACCTGAGGTTTGGTCAGGCAATGGTAGTGCACACCTTTAATCCTATCACTGGAAGGCAGAGATCTGTCTGCATCTCTGTGAGTTCAAGGCCACACTAGGAACAGAGCCAGGCGGTGGTACATACCTTTAATCCCAGCACTAACCATAAAGGTCTGGAGGTCTGTACAGACAGACAGGAAGTGACAGAGCTGGGCAGGAAGAGGAAGTGATGTAGCTGGGCGGACAGAGGAAGTGAGATTGCAGAACAGAAAGGCATATAGGTGTAGGTATACAGGAAGTGGGTCTCTGTGGTGGAAGATCTCCAAGTGGTAAGAATGTGGCTGGCTTCTTTCTCTGATCCTCAGGTAAAATATCACCACACCTTGCTTGTCCTTTATTCTACTTTATAAGCATAGTCATAGTACATTATTACCATATAAGAAACCACAACTCTGCACATATATTTGAAAACAGGTTAAAACGTTCTCTAGTTGTAGAATCATTATCTTTTTGTTTATTGGCTTCAGTTTAAATGAATCTGTTTACTGATAATAGTTACAAAAACAAACACTTCTAAATAAGCATAAAAAAAACCCCTCTAGACTTTCCTTGATAGATGCATTATTTGATGCTCAAGCCAAGACAAGAAAGCTAATATACTAATTTGCAGAGTCTAATGTTATGGAAATAAGATGATGATTAAATGAAGACATCGAAATTATGGGCACAATTTACAATGTTTACAGTAATTATTTTTAGGGTTCACTACAAATTCCCACTATGCAGTGTCTTACTCTAGGTACCCCAGCCACTGAGTTCACTATATCAGTACTGGAAATACCTATCCAGTGCGATTTCATCTTACACTGGTGATGTTCTGGAAGCAAAAACTGCTCCATCCTAATGGTTCTTGAAAATGTCCCTGGACCAAGGACAGCTACATTGACTGTGTTGTTTCTTTGCATTTCTGGTGCAGTGTTCC